GCTGGCTCCCGTGATGGGGGCACGGCCTGTGGCAGGGCCCTTGTTCTCTCTAATCCCTAGTGTCTGCGTCCCATGCGTGGAGAGCGGGGGAGAGGTATTACATGCAGGAGTCGCGTTTGCGTCCTGTCCATCCCAGTGTATTGCGTGGCACTAAAGAAGCTTATATTCTTGTCATTAAGATGTAGGATTGGGAGGCGGGTTCTCATCGGAACCTCTGCTGTTGATCCTGGCTGTCCACCTACCCACCTGTCCATCCGTCCTTCCCTCCAACCACACACCACCCACCCACCCACCCACCTCTCTGCTTATCCACTCACCCATATCCCCAAACATTCTTCGAGCATCTTGCCGTCACCCTGTTCTTAGGCTGTCGTATGAACTCGGTGAGCCGCAGTCTTTCTCGTCTGTGAAGAGGCAGCTCAGAGCCTGTTTTTAGGGTCAGATGTGATAGCTGCTGCAGTATGACCTTGAGCGAGTTTGTGGGTCCCTGGGCCTCGATTCCTGTCTGTAAAATGGGGGCACAGTTTTGGTCCAGCCCATCTCCTGAGATGGAGTCTCCTGGGGCTCTTGGAGCTCTGAGATGGTGCCAGTGGGAGGTAAAATGTCCCTGAATCTGATCCATCCTGTGTTATGACCCGGCCACAAGGCTCGGGGCTGGCACATATCAGGGTGCATTGAATGTTTGATGAGTGAATAAGTCAGGGAAGCTAAGTCCCTCGTGTCCTCCAGACTGAAAATAAAACTCCATGAGATAGTGTTTTACTTCTCTTTTCCAATATTGTCTGTCCTGTCTTGTCTGTTCCCATCTCATCCTACTTCACTGAAAAAAATGCCCTTGGGACCTGTCTGAGTTTATGCCTCACCAGCAGGTCAGCACCTGCGGTTTGCAAACCCTGCCCTGGAGAGGCAGGAGGTGGGTCCTTCCCTGAGTTAGAACCCTTGTCCCACCAGGAGGCTGACTGCTGCAGCCCAGGGACCCGAGCAGAGCGGGGCCGGCAAGCTGGGCAGCCTGCAGCTGACTCTGCCCACGCAGGGCGCAGCCTGCAAGGCTGCTGTCTGACTGCGTTTCCCCAGGTTTCAGCAGAGGCTTTGGCAAAGGCCTGCCTGGAGGCCTCCGAGTGACGCTGCCTTCTAAAGGCAGAGTCCCCACCCTCTCTGTCTGTCTGTCCCCACCTTGGCCTTCGGCCTCTGCCTTTTCAGCCCTCATCCTGAACTTTTGAAGTCGAGCCTGGAACCAGACCTTTCACCCCCTTCCTGCGTTTTCATCCGAGTAAGGGCAGGTTGCTGTGTGTGTGCGAAGTCTCTTCAGTCACATCCGACTTTGCGCCCCCATAGACTGTAGCCCTCCAGGCCCCTCTGTCCATGGGGCTCTCCAGACAAGCACACTGGAGTGGGTTGCCGTGCCCTTCTCCAGGGGACCTTCCCGACCCAGCGACTGAACCTGCATCTCCTGCATTGCAGGCAGATTCATTACTGCTGCGCCACCCAGGAAGCCCAAGTCGGTGGAGGGGGTAAGTCAACCCTAAATCACCGCGTGGATCTCCTCGACCCCTGGTCGTGCAAAACGCGCTTCTGCAGGCGTCCGTGAGCACCTGCTGCAGGCCAGACGCCTGGCGCACGTTCCATCGAGTCCAGCAGTCTCACGGGAGGGGCGCACTCGTCCCTATTTCACAGACAGGCAAACTGAGGCCAGTGGCCGTATGTGAACCCAGGACGGTGCAGGCTGTTCCCCACCAGCAGGCCATCTGACTGCAGCCCAGACCGCTCCAGTCCCCACCGCCCCTACCTCACCCCACGCCTGCTCCGCGGGGGGGGCACCCTCTGGGCTGGGCCTGGGAGTCTCCATTCTCAAGCTTCTCCCATGAATGCGAGGAAGCCGACTGGCCAGCAGTATCTGGGGGTCTGTTTGCCCGGATGTAGGCTGGTGGGGTCCTGCCTCGGGGCCCGAGCAGCCCGCGTCTGGTGGGGCCCAGCTAGACCGCCATCCAGGGTCCAGGCCTCAGGCCCCGGGCTCTGCGCTGTCAGAACCATTCTTAGTCCTTCACCAAGTGGAGGGACTGAAACACTGAAGTCACGGTCGAGGCAGGAGGTAGACGTGTGCGAACAGCACGGACATCCGCGGCTTTGGGGAGCTGGCTGTGCAGGTGTCCGCTCCTGGCACGACTGGTCCCCGGGGGCACACACCCTCCTCCCTCTGATTCCCTGCCTGGCCCTGCACACACGGTCCTCTGCTCGCCTGGGGCTGAGGCTCCGTGGGCCCCGCGACACCGCTGAGCCCAGGAGTCTGAGCCTTTTGTGTGGAGGGACGGGGGAGGAGGGCCGGACGAGCAGGTGTGCATCTTTTCACTTGTTATCAGGGATGCAGACGAGAAGGGGAGTTAGAAGATGGGGAAATGTCGTCCTTTGACATTTATGTTTTCAGAGGAGCTGGCAGGGACTGTGAGCCGGGAGGTTTTTGATCATCATGGGAGAGGGAGGCCTCTGGGGAAGCCCAGCTCTCACCCCAAGGGTGGGGAAGGCACCGGCCAGAGATGCCTCCGGGAGCTGCTAGGGTGCTTCGCAACACCTGCTCCCTAACCTTTCATTGGGACCCGGCCCCTCATCTGACCCCGCGGCTCTCAGGGGTCTGCTCCCTGTATCCCCTGCCATGGGCCCCAGATCACCAGGGCCAGGTCCCCCCAGGTGAGACCTGAGATTTCCCTTTCTGCACAGATGCACAGGACGGACCAGCAAGGGACAGGGCGCCCCAGGCAGAGCTGGGACGGCTAAGCCTGGTTAAGGAGCTGGCCCCGTCTGGCGACCGGAGTCCAGAGCCCTTCACTGACCGCTGGTGACAGGCTCCAGCCTGGAGCAGAGTGGCTGAGAACTCAGGGCCGAGCCTCGTGGTGGTCGCGGCAGTTGCAGAAGCTGTCCTGTCCACTGAGACTGGGGACCCGCAGACACATGGACCCGTCTCCTGGCCTCGGCTTGCTCACCGGTGGCAGCTGCCCACTGTCCTGGGCTCCGCCCGTAGGAGACGCAGCCCCGACCCCAGGTCAGCAGACAGACTTTGTCTCCCGAGCCAGTGCTGGCTGGTTGCTGGTGTCTGGTTTGGACTCTGCAAGGAGGATCCTAAGTTCTGTCTGGCTCTGGGCGGAGGAGTGCGGCAGTTGACTAGTGATGTCTGCCATGGTAGGCATAGGAGTGGGGTGGCACGTGTGCCCTCCAGTTGCCAAACCCTTGGGCCCCGACACTTCCAGCATTCTGTCTAGTAACTGTAAGGACATCGAGCAATATTGCTTTAATTTTTGTTCTTCCTAAATATTTAGAGCCCTTAAAAGCTCTAAGAATAACAGCAGAAGCCAAGTCGCTCATTATTTGTGAAAGGCCTCTTGGCGCACCCAAGTGTCGGGGGCCCCCGGCTGGGCCAGCTGCACAATCAGCCCATTGAGTCTTGTCTGAGGAAACACAGAGGAGCCCTGTCGCTCCTCGGATTCATGACTTCCGTGCGAGCCGGCCCCTGAAACAGCACGCCTCCCGGAAGTCAGCGCACAGCGCTTGGCTTGTTGGGCGAGTCCGCCGTCTCGCCGGCTGAGAAAGGGCCCTTCTGTACAGTGTGGGGTTCTCTCTCCACTTTTAAAAAATTGCCGCAGGACGGAGAGCCGCCTCACAGGAGGTCCGAGACGCGTGTCCCGGGTGGGGGTTTGGGGAGGTGACCTGGCCTCGGGTTTCCCGTGTCCCACGTGTGCACGGCCGGCCTTGTAGAGGTGTGAGGATCCACTGGGATGACGCACATAAAAGGCTGATTTGGCTCGGTTTCTGGGGCACCAGCGCCCAGCAGAGGGGTGTCTGTAAATTTAGCCAGTGGTCATCACCGGCCGTGTTCACATCCCCTGGCCTCAGATGCACATGTGCGTGGACACACATGCACACACACACACCCATGCACACGCAGCAGGCTCTCAGAGTTGAGACCTGTCTCTTTGCCTCCTTGGTGTGTGGTCTCACCCAGCAGGCTCCCCGTCAGTCCCGCCGGGAATCATGAGCAGCTTGTGTGACCCGCGAATCATGCTCGAGAGTGTAACCCTCTGTATTCAGGTCAGCTGTGCGCTCGCCTGGCCCCGTTTCCCCGTGACCATCTGTGGAGCCTCGTCCTTGCTTGCCCTGGTCATCGGAAGATCTGTGGGTTGGCCGTGTTGAGGCCTCTGAGGCTGGGAGCCGGGTGGGTCCTGTGTGTCTGGAGGGGGCTGGTCACAGCAGGACCGGGGCGGGGTGGGGCAGGGACCCCAGGACTTCGGCACAGCTGTCCATCCAGGGAGAGCCTCCGGGGATGCTCTTGTGCAGTCTGAACCTGGGGGTCTTTGTTTTCCGTCTACACCCTGACCCTCTAGCTAGCTGGGCATCTGTTTAAATGGTCCCTACGGAAAGATTGGAGGGGCTGGAAGGGAAGGGAGCTCTATGCTGGGATGTTTGCCTCTACGCTGCGCTCCGGGCTGTTGTGTGACTTTGGGCAAGTCACTTGACGTCTCTGGGTCTCTGTCTCCCCACCTGTGAAATGTGTCAGCACTCACCGTGGACAGGAGTTATTATTAAACCACATGGTGCCTTCCAGAGCAGGAGCCTGGGGGGAGCCACTGTGGTCGTGATGTGTGTGCACACCTGGGGTGGCCCGGATGGGGCAGACCCTCTCCTGGGGGAGAGGAGAGCAGGACTCAGTGAGTGGCTGGTGGGCAGGAGATGGCAGAGGGGCTCTGAGCCCAGGCCTGGGCTCCAGGGCACTGTGCCGGGCGCACACAGCTCTCAGCAAATGTTAGTGCCCCCAGACGGCGCATCCTGACCGACAAATACAAAGCAGGTGTCTTGCCTAAAAAAATCTTATGCTCTGCTTTTTTTTTCTCCTTGAGACGAAAAGTGCTTTAGTAACCGTTCTCAACATCTACAAAACGCTTCATTACTGTTTCTTAATGACTTTTGGCTTTCTCATGAAATTACAGAAGCATCTTTTTGTCTCCCCCTCCCAGGTCATCTCTGCCGTGTCAAGACTCTCCCTGCACAACTTGGCTCAGAACAAAGGGATCAGGTGAGCTTTGCGGAGCGCGCAGCAGGGCGCCCACCTCTTCGTCCCCGTCTGCCCCCCACGTGCCCTGTCACAGATACTGGAGTTTTGAACAGATACCCTCGGCCCTTGTCTTTCTCATGAATTTTCAGCGTGTTGTCAGGTTGCCTGTTGGCGGCGGCTGGAAGGGGTGGGGAGGATGGGCGAGGCTTTAGCTCACACCCGGGAAATCTTGCAAGCCTGTTACTGATGGCTGCAAAAATCTCTTTCGATTTAGGTAATGAGATCAGCAAATTAATCCTTTCACAGATCATCGCCTACCTAAATGCCCTCTCCACACGTCAGAGCTGGGTTTTGCCTCCAATGAAGTAGTGGTGTTTGTGGAGATGGGGCTGAGCCAGGGGGCCTGCCTGCCTGTGGCTGTGGGCCCCCCGGCAGGAATCACCCCACTCTTGGCTTTAATTCTGCTCGGATTTGCAGAGAGTTCCACGGCCCTGAGGTCTGATCCCTGACACACGGATGTTGGGGGGCGGGGGGCCCTGGGACTGAGGGAGCAGAGGCGTCTGGGGGAATGGGGGCATGCTGGCCACAGGGGACAGTGGAGGGCAGCCCCAAGTGAGACCTGGTCATTGCAGATTCCGACCCTCAGAGCGGGGTCAGGGACACCGGGTTCCACACTCGATGGGGATGATGCCTCCCTCAGTGTCCCTGGGTCGTGGGCCAGCAGGGTGGGAGTGAGAGGTTTGGGAGGGCAGAGACGGCTCCTCCTGAGGGCAGAGGGTCTGGGGGAGGGTCTCGCCTGGGTGGGTACCGGCGACTTTGTGAGAGTGGTTCAACTCTGGAGGGGGCTCCCCCCTGGTGTTGTCATCGGGTCCCTGCACGCTCATGGACTTGGGGGTCCCAAAACCAGGATGTCTCCTGCAACAGGACCCTTGGTGGGGTTATTTGCCCAGGTCCAAAGAGTCATGGGAACAGATGCAAATATTAGGGAACCCACCCAGAACCTATTTTCCTATTGAGTTCTCCAAAGACTCAGAAGTTTCACTGAATTGAGTTTTATTTTAAATGTCAGATGGACGACAGGCTGTTTAAAAATGCTGTTGCGCTGCTATTAAACACACAGTCGAGAATATTTGTAACACGGTCAGGCTGTAAAGAATAAGGTTAGGGTGAAACCTCTGTACCACCGCCCGGCCCACGTTCCAGAACGCTGCTCTGCCTGTGAGGCCCCCAGCTACGTGGACAGGTTTTCAGTATAGCTTTCGTCTGTAACAGGGATAGTTTAAAAATGTGTAGTTTAAAAAAGTGAGTCGTTGCCAGATACACAGACATTTCGTGGGTTTTCTTGTTTGTGTTTTTCCCAGGAGCGGTCGTCCGCTCTTTGCCCCACTAGCCGGGACGACAGGCTGCGTTCCGGGTGCCTCCCCCCGGTTCTAGCGTGTCCGCCACCTACCTGTGTGCATGTAGGCAGGAATGGAGTTCGTGCCACAGAAGTCAGTCATTTTATCTGCTTTGTCATGTGACTCGAGAGTGTGAGCTTTTCTCTCCATCTCATAAACATCCTCCTGGTCAGGGGCCCGGTGTCGGGGAGCCCAGGGGTGCCTCTGGGGCAGATGAGACAGTGGCTTTGCTTGGGTGCGGTCCTGCGGCGGCCGAGCACAACGCCAGGCTCCCCACGCCCTGCCCCGGGGGCAAGAGGCCAGTGACCGAGGCCATGACTGCCTTGTCTGTTGGCTCCCAGAGCCTCGGGTTCCCTGGGGCTGACAGTTGGCCAGGGAGTCTGCTGGTGGCTTAGAAAGTGGTGAGGGGCCTGAGGGTGTGCTGGTGACCTCTGCGCAGTGTGGAGGCCCCTGGGGGGCCGGGCAGCGCCCTGACCCCTCCACCCCGCAGTCCCAGGGCTCCTGCCCCACGACAGGTGCCTCCCCGGCCGCTCCTGTGCTGGGTGGGCAGAGGCCAGCTCTCCGAGGCTGGCCGGTGGGCTTGGAAACGCGCCTCCTTCCCTCTCTCTTCTGGGCAGCATGTGGGCACAGTGGCCCCCCTGCTGGGGAATGAAGACCCCAGCCCCTCGGGCGATGGTGAGCAGAGAGCGTGGTGGTCCAGCCTGTGGAACGGGTGAGAGCCGGCTCCAGTCTGGTGGGCTGCGCGCCTCGTGTGGGCGGCTCCTCGCAGAGCTGGTGGGAGCGGGGGAACCCGGGGAGCGTCCCAGGGTTCGTTCTCGAGGCTGAGCCCCGAGGTCCTGCAGGCGTTGGCCCGCAGGAGGGCTCAGTACGGTCCCAGTTTGCTGTAATGACGTCACAGGGCCTCTCGGGGCCCCTGGGACCACCTTTGGGCCTGATGACTCACGGAACTCAGCTCAGCTGTTATCCTCAGGGTTCTGGTCTATTACAGCGAAAGGAGGCAGGTCCAGATCAGCAGATGGAAAAGGCACATAGACAGGAGAGACGCGGCACAGACTTCCGGGTCTCCTCTCCCCAAGGACTTGGATGGACAGTGCTTAATTCTCCCAGAATGATGTGTGACTTCATAGATAGGAATTGCCAGCCAGGGAGGCCCCCTTGAGCTTTGGTGCCCTGGTTCTCATTGGGTGTGGGTCGTGTAGACATGGCTGAATGCCCCTGTTGGGGTGACCTTAGCTTCCAGCCCCTGCACACGTCCAGCTGATACTGTGGGCCTGAGGTTCCCCCATAAACCCCATCATTTCTCAGACCCTCTGGCCTGGCCTGGGGCCCCCCGAGGTAGACAGAGATGCTGTGATCAGCAGGACGCCCCAGGAGCTCAGAGGTCCCTCTCGGGAGCCAGGCCAAGGGCCGGACCTTTCTTGGACACAGGGGGTGGGCAGCCTCGGGTTGCTGCGTTAACCCTTTGCTGCACACGGGGGAGGGAAGCGAGGGGTCGGGAAGGTGTCGGCGGACCACAGGCGGGGCCGGGACCCGCCGACCGGAGCGGCGCCCTTGCAGGAAAAGCTGCCCAGCTCGCCTGTCCCCTCCTCGCCCTGGTCACTGAACGCGCCCCGGGCCCCATCTCACCCGGACTTTCTCCCTCCCTGTCTGAGCTCCAGTCCAGAACTTTCCCGGGGTCCTTTCCCTTCGTGGCGCCCGGGGACAGGACCTCCGGCACGCCCTGCAGCTCACCCTCCCTGGGCCTGGGAGGTGGGCTCCGGCCGCTCCGGAGCGGAACGCCTTTGAGCAGCTCCGCGCAGGCCGAGGGTTTCACAGGCGATGTGTCGGCCTGGAGCCAGCAGCACTCACACAGAACCCTGACTGTGCTCTCCGTTTGAGAGCAGTTCATGGTGTCGGTAATTAGCAAAAGGGGTTCCTCTAGCCAGACTCTTCTGTTTTAAAAACCCGCAGACGGAGCCCACAGCCCTGACGAACCTCTCCCGCGTTTCTTTCATGCCTGGAGAGGAGCCCAACGCACTCCTTTAAAAAAATGATCATTTTCACAACCCCTGCTCTGTGCATCATGAGCTGATCTCCCACAAAAGCCCCAGTTATGCTTCTCAGGGGCTGATGAATAGGAGGCGTAATCTAAGAGCCCCACCCCAGTGCCGGCTGGGGGAGCAGGAGTGATGGCGAGGGGCTCTGGGGAGTCATCCAAGCCCAGTGTGTGGGGATGGGGGTCCTTGTCACAGCCGGAGCTGGCCCTCCAGATTGAAGGATGTCCTGTTCGGGGGTCGTCACGGCTCTGAATGCCTGGGAAGGAGGAGATGGCAAAGGGGCGGGACCCTCTCTGGGCCTGAAGTTGAACGGTGAGACCAAGGCGCCCTCAGCCCTTGGAGGCCTCAGCCCTTGGAGGCCTCATCTCTCAGCCCCTGCTTGCCGAGTGGTCTTAGGCAGGGGTATTCTTGGAGCCTCCGTCTCTTCTTCTATGGGCTGGGGAGGGTCCCCCTGCCGCCCAAGGTTGCCGTGAGCCTGCACCCCGTGCAGCGTGATTAGTGCTGCCCCGGATACTGTGTGATCACCCACGGGCTGCCGGCCTTGCGGTGGGCTGAAAGGTGGCCCCAAAAGATATACCCACCTCATAGCCCCTAGACCCTGTGTGACTGGGAAAAGGTTCTCTGCAGCTGAAGTTTTATAAATGGAATTTCACCTGTAAACGTAAGGAGGAGGCAGGAAGGTCAGCGGAGGTTGGAGGGGTGTGGCTATGAGCCAGGGATTGCGAGTCATCTTAGAACTGTGAAAGGGCCAGGTTCTCCCCTGGTGCTCCCGGAAGGAGCCGGCCCTGCCGACCCCTTGATCTGAGTCCATGAGATGCACTGTAGACTCCTGACATCCGGATCTGCGAGGTAGTAAACCCGAGCTGTTTGAGGCCCTTTTGTGGGAGCAACGCTGGGGAGGCCGGTGGCCGTGGGCCTGAGGATCCGGTGTGAGGCCGTCGTGGGGCCCAGGGCGTGGGCCTCTGCACCCACCCCCGTGGGGTCGGCATGGTGGGCTCGGCTCTGGGTCCTCAGGGGACGCGAGCGCTCCTACAAGCCAGGACCAGCCTCCGTCCCTGACTCCCTGGTCCTAACCCGGCCCAGCACCTCTCTCCTGCTCTCTGGCTTTTTACTGAATTGCAGAAAAATTCACGGAACATATATTTCATCCCTTTGAGGGGTGTATCTTGCTGTTTGCACATTCACCCCCTTCCCTCCCCACCGCCCCGAGTCTCATTCCCAAGCATGTCACACCTGGATGTAGGATGCCACCTACTGGGGCAGTGGCGCCTATGGGGTTCCGGGGAGCGGGGGGTGGGGGCTCCGTAGAAGGTTCTAGAAGGGAGGAGTAGCAGGGAGGGAGCACCTGTCTGGAAGGCCTTGGAGGAGGTGAGGTGAGGGTGGGGGAGGAGGGGCCGTCAGGCCTGGTCAGTTTTGTTTCAAGGCTCCTGTCTGAGGCTGTCACTGGGTGAGTGGGGGGAGCCTTATGCCTCAGAGGGGCCGCACGTTGTGAGGTGGGCCCCCCGCCCCCCAGCGAGGGAGTAGGCAGGGGCGGGGCTCTGTCTGGCCCGTCCCACCCCCTCAGGGGTCAGGGGATGGAGGTGGAGGA